GAGAAAGATTCTGACACACGGGATCACTAGCGCGTGCTTTGCATAATCTTCTCTCGACGGCAAAATCTCTCGAGCTCGCATCCTCCTCGCACCCCCCTCCCCCCGCCTCCCCCGCCCCTCCCCTGGATGCGCGAGAGTACCCCAAGGATTCCCGAACTCCCGAGACTCGAGAGAGAGTGTCCCTCGTCCTCGGGGCCTCGGGATCGGACGCGGCCGCTCCTGCAAACACTCAGATCCGAAAATTAAGTGAATGGACCATCAGTCTTCAGCGGGGAACGTCGTTACCCCGAAACGGAATCCAAACTCGCTAAACTTTCGCCTCCGAGTCGAGAGCAGACGACGCCCGTAAACTTTCTCTGAATTTTTATTCTAATTTCTTTTCTAATTTTGGGAGGAAGGTGTGATATCCAGATTTATTTTTTTCTTCTTCCACATTTTTTTTTTTTTTTTTTTTTTTTTTTTATCTCTTCACGAACCTTTGTCGTTTCTGAACATCAAAGCGAGAAGAATGTCTCGAGGTAACTTTCCCGAGGTCATTGAAACTTCCTTCTATTACGGGCGTTATTTGCAATGCACGGGCGCGCCGGGAAGGAAACGCGGTCCCAGCTGACGGAGTTCCCCCCCCCCCCCGCCCCCCTTCGTCTCGTCTCCTCATTTAGCGTTACCTCTCTCTCCCGCTTCTTTCCCCGCGTCCACGAAGAAGCAGAGAAAGAGAGAGAGACACGCGCGCGATAAGAGTTCAAAGGAGAGCCATAATTGCATAAATCACCACGAGGCTCCGTCAACTTGCACACGAGGAAGCGTTTGCAAGATAGCTGAACAAACACCGCCTGTGTTGAGAGCCTCATCCGGGCTGGGTCTTCTCGGCGGAGCAAATACCAACCAGGGGATTCCAACACTGACAACCGTCGGGGAGCGTAATTAACTTTGCTTTATTAAACTTCTTCCAACAATATTATCTTCGAGAGCATAGGCGATGGACGTGCAGCTCGCGAGGTAAGCTGTCAAGCCAAAGGAATCGGAAGAAATGGTGAGAAGACGGAGAGCAAAGCAAACACATCAATACTTGAGTATCTAAGTGCAATGATACATGCACAGACATGTACTACAATACTATATACACACACACACACAACACACATATTTTTGTATTATTTTTTATTTATTTATTTATCTATTTTTTATCTATATCTCTCTCTCTGTCTCTCTCCTCTCCCTCTTTCTCTCTCTCTCTCTCTCTCTCTCTTTCTTCTCTCTTTTTTCTCTCTCCCTCTCTCTCTCTCTCTCCCTCTCTCCCTGACCCACCCCCCACTGACAGCCCCAACCCTCCTCCTTTGCAGAGACGTACTGGGTCGAGAGCCACATCACCGTGACGGCCTCTCGGATCTGCAGGGTGCCGCCCTCTCCTGCCACGTGCACACGCCCACCAAACCCCACGCCCAACGCCCCGTCATCAACCAGACCCAGACGGCTTCCATCATGCTCAACATAACCCGTGAGTCTGATTTTTTTCGCTTTCATATCTTTATTTTTCGTTTTTTTGGACGATATTGGACGCGGTTCATTATCAATGGTATTCACGAGGTTCAGTTTTCAATTTCCTGTCGTGGTTGTGATGCATGTATACATTATCGGATTTGGATATCAGCTATATCTGTTTATTTTGATTGGTATATCTGTATAATGTTTGTGTATATACACATACATATATACATACTTCCATACTGCATCACACACACACACACCTATGTATATATAGTATATATGTATGTTTATTATTATATGCACACACACACACACACACACACACACAACACACACACACACACACACACACACACACACACACACACACACACAACACACACACACACACACACACACACACACACACCACACACACACACACACACACACACACATACACACACACACCACACACACACACACACACACACACACACACACACACACACACACACACACACACACACTATATATATTATATATATATATATATATATATATATATATATATATATATATATATATATATATATATATATATATATATATATATTATATATATATATATATATATATATATATATATATATATATATTATATATAATATATTATATATATATATATATATATATATATATATATATATATATTATATATAATATATATATATATATATAAATATAATATATATAATATATATAATATATATATATATATATATATATATATATATATATATATATTACACATTTAGCTAGATAGAAAGTTAGCAAAAAAACAGATAGACAGATAGATAAACACAAAGATATGTTTAGGTAGCACATGTGTATGTTGTGCCCTTAGCAGAGGCAGGGGCCATGTGGTTATGTGCTAAAGGTTCCGGAAACATAATATTTTGACTCCATCTGGTAGCCAGGCGCCCCTCTCTAAACAGTATGTCATAAGTCACTGTTTATTGTAGACAATAACTCTATGTGGCATATGCTGGGGATGCTTTTTTTATATACTATTGGCGTTCCTTTGAACATGTAGGCGTGTATGTATCCTTTATACATTTATCCGTAAGATATATATATGTGTATATTATATATATATATATTATATTATATATATATATATATAATATATATATATATTATATATTATTATATATATATATATATAATATATATATATATATATATTATATATAGTATATATTATACACACACACACACACACACACACACACACACACACACACACACACACACACACACACACACACACACACCACACACACACACACACACACACACACACACACACACACACATACACGATATATATATATATATATATATATATATATATATATATATATAATATATATATATATATATATATATATATATATATATATATAATATATATATATATATATATATATATATATAATATATATATATATTATATATATATATATATATATATATATATATATATATAATATATATATATATATATATATATATATATATATATTATATATATATATATATATATATATATATAATATATAATATATATATATATATATATAATAGTATATGATATATAATTATTACACACACACACACACACATATATATATTAAATATAATTACATATACTTTACTATATATATATATATTGCATACATATATATATATATATAATATATATATATATATAATATATATATAATATATATATATATATAATATGATATATAATTTATACTATATATTAATATATATTATATATATACACATGAATACACACCCACACCTGCACACCACAGCCATACCACACACACACACACACACACAACACACACACAACAACACACAACACACACACACACACACACACACAAGCACACCCAACACATAATATTATTAGTTATATATATATATAAATA